GATGAGGCGGTGAGAGTACCTGACGGTGACGGGAATAGGGAAGAAGGTTTTGGTATCAAGGAGTATTTCGAGAGCATTCGGACGCCGGTGACGGCGCCGTTAGAGACGTCGTTATATCGGACTTCTAACGACGTTTAGTTATTTTTTTACCCCTTTTTTACCAGGTGGGAGTGGTTTTCCCGGGGGTGTACAGGAGGAGGAGGAGCGGGAGAAACGGAGCAGGATGTTGGAGGGTAAGAGCATTCCGTCGCCGCCGATCTCATCGATTCGCCATAAAAAGGTTCGATTTTTACTTCAATTTTGTGCTCATGTGCGAAGATTACTTGTTGGGGGGTTTTTTGTTAAATTCAGACCAGTTGGGAGCTCCCAAGCGCTCCACAAATTTGTGGAGCGCTTGGGAGCTCCCAACTGGTCTGAATTTAACAAAAAACCCCCCAACAAGTAATCTTCGCACATGAGCACAAAATTGAAGTAAAAATCGAACCTTTTTATGGCGAATCGATGAGATCGGCGGCGACGGACTTCAGCTTCGCGGGCGGCTGGTCTGTACTCCGATGGGCGGCGGTGGTTGAGTCTCCGAGGCCGCGGGTTGGGGAGCCAGAGATCCGAAGGACGGCGGTGGTTCAGTCTCTGGGTTCGTGGGTTTTTGAAGTCTGGTTTGGGTTGGGGAGAAGAAGAAGAGGCATGGGTTTGGGGGGAAATGAAGAGGTTTTGGTTTGGGGGAAAATTCGTGGAGAAGAAGAAGAGGCACGGGTTTTTGAAGTCTGGTTCGGTGTTTTTGACGAAGATTTTTTTTGTATTGTGTTTTATCTGTTGGACAACTGAGTGAAAAAATGAACGTTTGAGTGAAAATATGATCGTTTGAGTGAAAAAAAAGTACCGTTGTGTAAAAAATGAAACGTTGAGCGAAAAAATTCTTACCGTTGAGTGAAAATGACAGGAGCTCTATTTTATTGCTGTTCAACAGTTAAAAAAACCTCTATAAATTCACAATTCACATTCCACAATTCACAATCCACACAACTCTCTCATAAAAAAAAAATCTATATTTCCCTATCAAATTACAAATCTCATGGATCCCTCCCAAAACTTTTATTCAGACCTCCTTACCGGTGAAGGATCGACCTTATACCCGCCGTTCTATACAGAAGGCGTAGGCCGCACGCCAAACCAAATGATGCATCGTTGGTCAACGATTCAATTGTCCGTCAACAAATTTTGTGGGTGCGTTGCTCAGATTGAAGGAAGACAAAGATCTGGTACGGGAATTATTGATCAGGTAAATATTTAATTATGTTTGATTATTTTTGCTCATATTCAATATGTTTAATTATGTTTGATTATTCTAAAATTAACTCTTGTGTAGACTGCAGAAGTAAAAGAATTATACCAATCTCTTTATGGTAAACCATTTGTGTTTGACCATTGCTGGGTTGAGTTGCGTCATCATCAAAAGTGGATCCAACAAATGGAATCTTACAATAAGATTCGATCACAGCCGAGAAGAACCACGAACTCTGATTCCTCACCAAACAATTCCATGCCAACGACCCCCATCGGGTTGAACATTGACTCGGATGACGATCACAGCCGAGAAGAACCACGAACTCTGATTCCTCACCAAACAATTCCATGCCAGCGACCCCCATCGAGTTGAACATTGACTCGGATGATGTTATAGCAAGGCCTGAAGGGAGGAAAGCGGCAAAACTCAAGAGGAAACAAAATGTGGACAAATCTGAGTCCGCTAAGTCCATTATGGGAGAGGCTTTCGCGTGGATGAAGCAAACCAACAAAGAAAAATGGAGCTAAAACAGAAGAAACAAGATGACGATATCATGAAGATCGATCTCTCAACACTCAATTCAGTTCAACGTCAATACTTTGAAATGCGTCAGGCAGAGATTTTGGAGAGGTGGATGTCCAAGGGTTCTTCCTAATTATCATATATTGTACTCGCATCGCATCCTCATTAGTTCTTCCTAATTATCAAATATTATCTTATATTAGATTTATGATTGTACTTGAAGTTGAAAATTTTGGCATTGAATGAAAACAACTACTTTATTGAAAATGAAATTGGCGTAGTACAACAACTTGAACTCCTTTTCTGAAATTACATTAGACATAAAGAAACTTAATCCTCGGCGATGGATCCCTTAAGCTGCCACAGATGCTCGATCAAATCATTTTTTAGTGATTTGTGTGTTTGCGTGTTCCTGATCCGATGATGATTTTGGATGAACTCAGTTAGAGGCACCGTCTGCACATGAGAAGGTTCAACGACTGGTACCGAATCAGTAAAGTCGAAGTTGTTGTCCAATTGACAATCACGTTCATCTTCAACGATCATGTTATGCATTATGATACAAGCTGTCATGATATCTTTCAGCACACAAGGTTGCCAGAAACGTCCTGGTCCACGAACAATCGCAAATCGAGCTTGCAACACGCCAAAAGCTCGCTCAACATCTTTTCTTGCGCTCTCTTGTTGTTGAGCAAAGTATTTATGCTTGTTTCCGCGAGGTGCTGGAATAGTCTTCACTAATGTGGACCACTCTGGGTAAATCCCGTCGGCGAGATAGTATCCCATATTATACTCGTGGCCATTGACAGTATAGTTGCACGGTGAAGCTCTTCCCTCCGCAAGTTGTGCAAAAACCGGTGAACGATGTACCGGTGAACGATGTAGAACATTAAGGTCATTGTGAGACCCCGGCAGTCCAAAGAAGGCATGCCATATCCAAAGATCTTTGCTAGCTATGGCCTCCAAAATAATTGTAGGTTCATGAAAATGTCCAGTATACATACCTTGCCAGGCAGTTGGACAGTTCTTCCATGTCCAGTGCATGCAATCGATGCTCCCAAGCATACCAGGAAAACCTCGTTGTGAGCCTTCCTCGAGCAGGCGTGCAACGTCTTCATTAGTCGGTGCACGAAGGTATTCCTCTCCAAAGATGTTGATAATTGATCGAACGAACCTCTTCACGCTCTCAAGCGACGTACTTTTACCGATCCGAACGTAGTCGTCAACGGAGTCAGCGGATGCTCCATATGCGAGCATCCGCATAGCTGCAGTAATCTTTTGAAGACTAGATAGTCCTAACTGTCCAGCACCATCCCTCTTTTGGACGAAATACTTGTCATGTTCGACGACTGCGTCGTGGATTCGAAGGAATAACGAACGCCTCATTCTGAACCTTTGACGAAAATAATAAAGAGGATAGGTTGGTGCGTCAGCAAAATAATCTTGGAATAACCGATTGTGGCCTTCCAGTCGGTTTCGATTGAGCACGATACGTCGTTTGTGTTGAACCGAAGCTGAACATTTCTCTTGTTCTTCTTCCTCAACGACATCAGCTCCCATAAGAAAGAACGTCTTTATCATTTCATCATCGCTAGAGCTAGATGAGCTAGACATTTTATTCTGGGAGATGATGGGTTGAGGAGAGAAGCCGTCGAATTTTATAGGCATCAGTCGGTTGACGGTCAAAGTTTGCGATACCTCGAACTTCGTGCCCAACATCGAAGACCGCGGGTTACCTCGAAGACCGTGTGCGTTCCCTCGAAGACCGCGGGTTACCTCGAAGACCGTGTGCGTTCCCTCGAAGACCGCGGGTTATCTCGAAGACCGTGTGCGTTCCCTCGAAGACCGCGGGTTACCTCGAAGACCGTGTGCGTTCCCTCGAAGACCGCGGGTTACCTCGAAGACCGTGTGCGTTCCCTCGAAGACCGCGGGTTATCTCGAAGACCGTGTGCGTTCCCTCGAAGACCGTGGGATACCTCGAAGAGCGTGTGCGCTCCCTCGAAGACCGTGGGTTACCTCGAATTTTGTGTGCGCTCCCTCGAAGGCCGTATCCAACGGTTAGAAATAAAATACAAGAGGTTTAAATATAATTAAAAGTAATGAGTAAAATATTAAAATAGAAGAGGGTTTTTTTTGATATTGTTGGCGCTCCTAACTAGGAGCTTGTTGGAGCTCCATAAAAGAAAGAGTGCCTCCCAAGACATAATTTATTAATTTTTTTATTCTAGATGGCTTGAGAGCTCTTGAGAGCATGCTGACTAGGACTCCCAACTGGGAGCTTGCTGCACTTGCTCTAATTATGTAATTAGGGATGACTTAGAGGGTAGAGAGTTTTTGCACGTGCGGCATGCTGTGCACACGTGTGTCTTCGCTTCGACGGCGAGCCAGGACGTAGGGCTTGTAAAATGTAAAATTTCCATGGGCGAGCGTGTATTGTGTATTTGTTCTCGAGAAGAATGCTAGGCGTTAGATCTCATTCGTCCCCGTTATTGGAGCATTCATGTGGCGATCTGAAATATTTTACGATGATTGAAATTCTTCTGCAGATGATGACCCAATTGTTAATGATCATGGGTTCTTACATTAATTAAGACTTATAAGTTAGCAACACAAACAATACGGATTATGGAGAAAAACAAGATATGTTTCAACAATTTGAAAGATGACCCACGTCTACCAACCAAGTATTTTGATGTAAATTAATGCTTATTAATTATTACTGGTGATTATTACTATAGCTTGTTAATTAGTGCGAGCAAGTCTTTTTGGTTCGGAAAGGAGAATGGGGTGACTCTGGTTGGCAATTGAGGGACATGTGGGGTTGGCTTGCAGTAAATTAAAAACGCTTAGAGCTGCTGAATGATTGAAGCAAAAGAAAGATGACTAAGAGAGTAGACCCGCATGAAAACATCTATATGAAAGTTTAATAAACTAAAAACAAAGTGAAAAAATGAAAAAAGGGGGCCGGGCACTTATGAATTGATTATTCAGTTTCCAGATGCTCTAAAGTGATCTCGACTGTTTAGTTACAATGCCTCTTCCATTGATCATTAGACAAAATGCGTACGCAGTCATTCTCAACGTTGAAATGGTAGACGACAAGTAAAGAAACGGAAAAGATAAAAGATAATTGCATCCATTAAAGACTTAAAGTACTTGCATAAATCTCTTCACGGGTGCGTAGTGGAAAGAGAAATTGTGCTATTTACGTGCACTCCCTTGTTTTATCCTTGAGCCATCTTAAAAAAAAAAGGAAAAAACTCGAATAAGTATCCCTATAAATTACTTAAATAATAATGGGAAGAAAAGACAAAAACTCCCAAAAATCCGCTTTGCCCGTGGCTTGTTTCTTTCAGGGTCCTAAAACCACCACAATTGAGGGCCAAAGAAAAATATTTTTTTTTAAATAAAATGCAGAGCGCCATGTAGAGATTCCATCCTTCTGCTCCGATCCATATCGGATTTTGATAGCTAGGCCCCTCTCTAAATGCAGTCATCAGAATAGCCCATCATCCTCTTAGCCAAAATGAAGAATTACAGGAAAACAACAAAGAAATCAGCTAGGCAGACTGGCGGTCGACCGCCGCGGTCGACCGCGAACGTGCACGAAGACTACCAGGATTCGGAGCTGCTGGCGGTCGACCGCCGCGGTCGATCGTGGATGACTGTAAGTGTTTTTACTCTCGGGACTGAGATTCGGTCGACCGTCGCGGTCGACCGTCGATGTTCTTGGCTGGGCTTTCTGGATTTTGATCCGTTTCGTTTCTGAGTTGTATATAACTCAAAACCTGATTGTTTAGGGTAAAGCAAGGACGAATTTGAGCAGTCTTTGAGAGAGGATTGTTGCATCCAATTATGGGAGAGTTGTGAGAGATCAAGAGCTTTGTTTTAGGGTTTGATCTGAGAGATTTGTAACTCTACTTGTATTCTCTGATTTCTAATAGTAAGAACTCCCTCCCCCTTGCCCCGTAGACGTAGGCAACTTGCCGAACCACGTAAATTATTTGTTCTTGCTGTGGTTGTGTTTGCATATTAGTTGTGGTTTAGTTCGAGTTATTGTTCGTGTTGCACAAGAAAAGCTTCTGCCGCGCACAACAATTGGTATCAGAGCTAGATCTACAACATGGGAGATGCAAGCACGTCAGGTTCGTCTCTTACAAAGGTGATACAGAGTCTGAGCATCAATAACACAAAGATTGATATTCCGAAGTTCGACGGCAAGATCAATTTTGGATTGTGGAGGTGTCAGGTGATGGATGCCTTGGATGCACAGAATTTGGAGGAGACTCTTGAGTTAAAAGAGAAACCCGCAGAGTTGGAGGATAAGGTTTGGAGAAAGATGAACAGTAGAGCTTGTGGTGTTATTAGGTCATGCTTGACGCCGGATCTTATTTATGATGTTATGAACGAGACGTCGGCGAAGAAGATGTGGGAAACACTCAATGAGAAATATCTTACGAAGAGCATTGAGAATCGGCTTCACTTGAAGAAGAGATTTTACCAGTTCAAGATGAAGAGAGGGGTTTCCATCAGGGAGCATGTCAACAATTTCACTAAGCTACTTTCAGATATGGCCAATGTTGATATTATAGTTGAGGATGAAGACAAGGCGATGCTACTTCTGTGTTCGTTGCCCGAAGATGATTATGGTACGTTCGTTCTCACTATGATCAATGGAAGAACTACAGTTAGCTACAAGGAGGTGACCTCAGCTTTGGTGAATTATGAGTTGAGGAAGAGTGATGGTGAACCCTCCGAGAAGGCATCGGGAGATGCGTTAGCAGTTCGAGGCCGAGATCCAAACCGTCGTCAGTTCAACCGCTCAAAGTCAAAGAATAGGAGTGCCTATAAGAGTGTTGGTAGAAATCAATGTCGGTATTGTAAAGAAGAAGGACATTGGAAGATTGACTGCCCAAAGTGGAAAGAAAAAGCCGGAAAGAATAAGGGGAAAGCTGCACAAGCTTCAGAAGTGAATGTTGCAAAAGCTATTGGTGAGCATTCAGATTCAGATTCTTCAGGCTATTCATGCCCTGCTTTACCGTCGGTTTGCTATGCGGATTCCACGGAGTGGATGATGGATTCGGGAGCTACATATCACATCTGCCCTAAGAGGGAGTGGTTTTCTAGCTTTGAGGAGCTGGAAAGAGGGGATGTCGTGCTTATGGGTAATGATCACGTATGCCCTATTGGTGGTATTGGTTCAGTCCGGATCAGGATGCATGATGGTGTAGTGAGGGAATTGAAGGAAGTGAGGTTCGTGCCGCAGTTGACGAAGAACATCATTTCTCTTGGGACTTTGGAGGCAGCAGGATATCGAGTGATCTTAGAGGATGCTACAGTGAAGGTCACGAAGGGTTCTATGGTGGTGATGCGAGGAGTCAGGGAAAACAACCTATACCACTTGAAGGGCAAGACAGTTACAGGGGGTCTGGCAGCTTCTATCACTACAGAGGAGGACACTACCACCTTATGGCACATGAGACTTGGACACACAGGAGATAAGTCCCTACAGTCATTGGCTAAACAGGGGCTATTGAAAGGTGCTAAGACCTGCAAGATGGAATTGTGTGAGCATTGTGTACTTGGGAAGAAGACTAGAGTGAAGTTCGGCACCGCTGTTCATAACACCCAAGGTACATTGGATTATATTCACACGGACGTTTGGGGTCCTTCCAAGAACACATCTCTTGGTGGGGCCAACTATTTTGTCACTTTCATTGATGATTATTCCAGGAGGAATTGGGTATACCCGATGAAGCATAAACATCAGGTCCTGGATATTTTTGTGGAGTGGAAAAAGAAAGTGGAGCTGCAGACAGGTAGAAAGGTGAAGACTCTACGTTCAGATAACGGTGGAGAGTACAAGAGTGATCCGTTTCTGCAGTTTTGCCGGGATCACGGCATTAGAAGACACTTCACAGTTCGAGAGACACCGCAACAGAACGGGGTGGCTGAGAGATTGAACCGTACCTTGCTGGAGAAGGTGCGGTGTATGATGACGCAGAGTGGATTGCCTAGATCTTTTTGGGCCGAGGCGTTGGTTTATGCGAGCCATCTTGTGAACAGGTTGCCGTGCACTGCGATAGACGGGAAGACTCCTTTGGAGCGTTGGTTTGGTTCGGAGGCTAGTGACTATGAGTCGCTTCGGATATTCGGGTGTCCAGCTTATTATCATGTCAGTGATGGTAAATTAAATCCGAGAGCGAGGAAAGCAGTCTTTGTGGGATTTAGAGATGGAGTCAAAGGCTTCAAGTTATGGGATCCACAGGACAAGAAGATAGTTATTAGCAGAGATGTCACATTTGACGAGGCGTACATGATGAGGCCTCGAACCCCTCAGCAGGTGGAGGGAGACCAGACAGGAGAGATATCGCAGCAGGTGGAGGATGATGTGACTCCACCCACTCCAGAGAACACTGTATCCATTGAGGCTCCTACAGAGGTGACACTGGGAGGAGATGAGATGACAGATGGGCAGATACAGGATACAGTAGATCATGGGACTCAGGAACAGGGTCATGTTCAGAGGACCATTGCAGCAGATAGACCGAGGAGAGAGATTCGTCGGCCAGCTAGGTATAATGATGTCATGGTCGCATATGCATTATCAGTGG